AACACCCTGTGGTGCAGCATGCTGCTGCCCACCCATCCAGGGAGCCCCCTCCAGAACAAGGCTTGCAGGGAAGGAGAAGGCTTGGGAAGGGGAAGGGCTGTGCCAAGAGTCACTGAGAAGTGAAACTCTGTGCTTTCACCCTTTTTTAGGTGTTTCCTCTAGATCAGGAGGTCACAAACGCATATAACAGCATTCATCCAGTGCTGCTGGATTTACCCAGCTCTCCGCTGCTCCTGCCAGCCCCTGGTTTCTCAAGGAGCAGCTGGGCACTGGTGGCATCTCCCTGGCCAGAACCTGTGCCAGCCCCCTCTTTTAGCTGAGGCCGGGCACAGCTCAGCACATGGAAGCACATCACACCCCCACAGCAGGGCATGGGACAGCGGAGGAAAATATCACGCCATGCCCGAGCTGTGGCAGTTCCCCCTGCTTCCCCCCCTTCCCCCCCCATCCCACCCATCATCATCCCCACCTGCTTTTTTGAGCGTTCCTCCTGGAAGAGCACCCGCCGGTGCTGCTGGCACTGCTGGATGGGGCAGACGCAGCAGATGCACTGCCGCTCATCCTCGCAGTAGGGCTCCAGCGGGCGCCCATGTTGTGGGCAGAGCTCACCACGGGTCACCTCGCACCTTTCGATGTCCAAAGCCCACGTCTCGCTCTCCCTGGCCAGCTCCACCACGCTGTACAGGGTGACGTTCTTCTCCAGCTCCGGGCGCTGCTGGAAGCCCCGGCGACAGTCAGGGCAGGTATAGCCCTTCTCAGCCAAGGGCAGCGCCTGCTCTTGCCTGCTCTTGCTTGTCCCAGTGGTCGCTGATGCAAGATTTGCAGAAGTTGTGCCCGCAGGGTAAGGTGACGGGCACCCTGAACAGCTCCAGGCAGATGGAGCACACCAACTTCTCCTCCAGCTTCTGAGAGATCAGCGATGCCATCCTCCTGCCTGCCACGGGGATCCAGGCAGTGGAGGAGAGAAGCTGCGGAAATAGAAACTGAGCTGAGCAGAGGAAGAGCTGGTGACGCTGAGCTCAGAGGCGGATCTGGGCTCCAAGCCAGGAATGTTCTTAAAGAGATGCCCAATGGGTGCCCTACACAGGCACTGGGGAGATGATGAGGAGGAGTGGAGGGCTGCAAAGCAGAGCAGGAGACCCCGGAAAGGATGAAACGCTGCGACAGCAGCACAGGGAGACACACGCGAGAGGCTGAGGGGTTCAGAGCAACCTGTATGGCCATGAAGGTGTTGGGACAGCTACAGTGTGATGTATAATGTGGTGTCACTCTTTTTTTATTGGCTCTTTGAGGGAACTTCCTGGCATCCTCACCTCTGCCAGAGCTGGCAATCCTCCCTGACTCACCCAGCATCTGCCAGCCTGGGAGCCAGCAGAGAGCCTGTGCTGGTTTTGGCAAGGGTAGAGTTAATTTTCTTCGCAGCAGCCAGTGTTGTGCTGAAAACAGTCCTGAGGAAGAAGTTCTCCCCACTGCTGAGCTCTGCTGACACAGCCTCATGCTGTGAAAGCTTTCCTGCTTCTCACCCCACCCCACCCACAGTGGGCTGGGGGTGCAGAAGAAGTTGGGGGGGTGACAAGCAGCTGGGACAGCTGACCCCAACTGCCCAAGGGGACATCCCAGACCATGCGACGTCATGTTCAGCATACAAAACTGGGGAAAAAGAAGGAAGGGGGGGATGTTTGGAGTGATGGTGATACGGGCCATCCTAACCTAAGCAGTTAGCTTGTTAGCACTGTTTCATCAGTTAATAATTGATATGACACCATGTTGTTTGAAGTTCCTATTCTCTGGACCTTGACCAGAGAAAACATTCGTGAGTGACTATGTACAGGATGAGTTATGTGACAATCTGGCCAGGTAACTGTCCCACTGGCCAATTTCACAACAATATTTACTTTTAGGATGTCCTGAAGCAAAACTGCCTCCATTATAATACTAAAAAACACACCCATAGGTTAAGAAGACCCTCACCCAGGTGAAGACTCTTCTCCTGAGTGTGCACAGAAGTACTAAAAATGATTCCGGGGAGATCTTACAGCGGCCTTCCAATACCTGAAGGGGCTACAAGAAAGCTGGGGAGGGACTTTTCATAAGGGTAGTTAATGACAGAACAAGGGGAAATGGGTTTAAACCGGCAGAGGGGAGGTCTAGATGAGATATTAGGAAGAAATTCTTCACTGTGAGGGTGGTCAGACACTGTCCCAGGTTGCCCAGAGAAGCTGTGGCTGCTCCTCCCTGGAAGTGTTCAAGGCCAGGTTGGATGAGGCTTTGAGCAACCTGGTCTAGTGGAAGGTGTCCCTGCTGATGGCAGGGGGGTTGGAACTGGATGAGCTTTAAGGTCCCTTCCAATCCAAACCAGTCTGGGATTCAATGATTCTATGTAACTGATATAGAAATCACTAACTAATCAAGAACAGATAGGAGGTGTTAACATGATAATGATATTGTAAAGTGTGTATAAAAAGTGACAAATTTTTCTATAGGTGAGCTTGATTTGTGGCTGATTCCACCGAGCACCCTGCGCAGAATAAACACAACATCTCTCCTGAGGTTGGTTAACTGCAGGCCAGACACAAATCCACCTTTTGGAGAACAATGGTGTTTGTCTTCCCAGGTAACTGCTACACGTCACGGAGCCCCGCTGTCCCAGGATGGCTGGGATGGGAAGGAGGAAATTAATCCCTCGTTTTGCTCTGTTTGTGGCTATTGTGCCACCTGTTCAACTGTCTTTATCTCAACCTAGGAGTTTTCTCACTTTTACCCTTCCAATTCTCTCCCCCATCTCCCACACACAGGGGGCACATGGACTGAGTGAGGGGCTGTGTGGTGCCCAGCTGCCAGCCAGGGTTAAACCACGACAGAGGGGCACCCACAGCTGCTGCGGGCACTTGTCACCTCCCTCTGCAGTGACAAGGGCTGTGACACATGCCAGCAGCCAGCCAGGACCACATCTCACCCTTGGATCTTTCCATTTTAAACTGCAGCTCCTGCTGTTTGCACATGTCCCTGTGCACACCCACCACTCCTTTTCCTACTCAGTTCCTTGCAACACCCCTGCACACCAGTACTCCAAACGCAGGAAAGATGTGAACTGGGCAATCAGCCCCTGCTCAGGGGGCAGGTGGAGTCTTCTGCCCAGAGGCAACCAGGAGTCCAGTCCAAACCTCACCTCCTTACCCTCCAGCTGTGCCATCGCTGCTGCACACACTCCCAGGCAGCTGAAAACCACGATGTGTTTTTCAGCTGCCTGGTTTTCATGCTCCCAGACATTCAAACCAGGATGACCTTGGACTGCAGCGGTTCTGCAGCCTCCCACCCTCCATGGCTTTGCTTTCACCCACCCAGGCAAGGATGAGGAGGGAGGGGTCTGTGCTGCAGCTGGAGCACTTGCCAGCGGGCTGCCAGGGGGGTCAGAGCAGTTCCTGTATCACAGGCAGGCTTAGAACCAACCCCCAGACCACCCCTGGACACAGGAGGTGACTTGGGATCTGTCACAATTCCCTGCATGTTCCTGCAGAGCTTCAGCCCCTAAAATATTCCTTTGGGCTGAATCTGCAAGTTCTGACCAAATAGTCAAAGCTCAGGTGGGGTAACACAACCTGTGGGTCTGTCTGGAACCACAGGACACCTGTGGTCACCTCACCAGCTAATTCAGCCCAGTTTAAACCAGACAACTGAACTCTTTGGGGCAGGAGGAGAGCACAAGGAGCTCAGGCGTAGCTGGCAATAGCCCTGAGCAGCAGCGGTGTGGGGGAGCATTTCAGCACCACCTCAGCTCTTTGCTGAACACTATTATTTGCTGAGGAAGGGGGGGAAGCTGAGATAAAGCGTTCCTGAGATTGGGGAACCAGAGCTGGGAACAGGCAGCTGCAACAGCAAGAGCATGTTGGTATTTGGGGGCTTAAATATGTGAATGGGGGATGCACAAAGAGCCCGACAGCACACAGAGAAAGCAGCACAAAGAGCCTGGGTACAGGAGCAGCAGCAGCAGAGTGCGGTGTGTCTACCCCAACCCCAGCAGCTCTGCAGATCTGCTTTTGCTCCACCTGTCTGCACCAGGTATCATAGAATGGTTTGGGTTGGAAGGGACCTTAAAGCCCATCCAGTTCCAACCCCCCTGCCAGCAGCAGGGACACCTTCCACTAGACCAGGTTGCTCAAAGCCTCATCCAACCTGGCCTTCAACACTTCCAGGGAGGAGCATCCACAGCTCTGGGCAACCTGTTCCAGGTACACGCTGTCCAGGGAACAAGGGGAAGGAGACTGAGGTCCACGTGCTTGGGTAGCTGTTGGAAGAAGCAAGCTCCATAAACACTGACCTTGTGCAGGTTTACATCCTGTGTAGCTGCACTCTTCCATCTTACAACATCTAAGGGGGGAAAGAGACCTCGACCAGGGGAAGGGCTGCCCTTCTCCCCTGCACCCCACTGAGCTCCCCAGCTCGGTGCCAGTTGGCCAGCACCAAACCTCCTCCCAATAAAGACAAGGCAGTGCCATCAGCATCGCTCAGAGTGTGTTTAATCTGACCCATCTCTTTCAGAGGACCACACAAATGAAAGCTGACACAGTCCAGAACTGCAGCACGGTGAGGGGAGGAAATCCAGACTAGCCTGGCTCTGTTTGTTCCATCAACAGGCAAAAAAGAGAACATGATCCTTTGAAAAGAAGCAAGCCAGGGCATCTCTGGGGAGCTCTACCCTGACACCCTTACTGACCAGCTCTGCTACAGGATCAGTAGCAAGATCTCAGCCTGGCCATGGATTTGCTTTCACCCATGAACGTCCTCTTCAATCACCTTTTGACCACACAGCTGTGGGCACTGCGAACGCTTGTTGCCCTCAGCTGCACACATCCCAGCACAGGGAACTGGGAGCCAAGGGGCTGGGAGTTTTTTGTCCCCCTCCAGAGGTGCAGATGGCTCCCAGCTGCACAGCTGTGTGAATGCAGGGAAGCTGTGGGCCTGGCCAGCACACCAGAGCACCGAGAGAGGAGGCCAGGCCCCTAGTAAATGCCGTAGGTGGGCTCCTGGGTGTCTCGGTATCTGTCCAGGTACCTCAGAGGCTGGTGGCGCGGGAACTTTAACTGTGGAGGGTGGTAAACGGGCGGCCGCACAAATTCAAAGACAGGTTCTCTCATATCTGTAAGGGGAGGATACAGAACATCAGCCAGACAGCTCAGATCCAAACCCCAGGCCCACCCCTTCACCAGCAAGGGCCCCCCCACACACACACACCAGACCAGAGCTGGTCGAGCACGCCCTGCTGAAGGCTCTCCTGGTGTTATTTTAAAAAGCTCATTCAAAATGGCCTTTTAGAGGTTGTTTCCTCAGGCTGCTGTTAGTCTGGTGGAGGGTGGCTCAGTAATTAACCCACTCTGTGCTGTAACAGATCTTTGACAAGTGCCAGGACCAAGCAAGAGCCTACAGCCACAGCTTGCTCACTGACCCTGTGAGTTACATGCAGGGGCTGGTTCCCAGCCCACAAACAGGCCCCCTCCAGCATCCCCACACGCTGCTTTTCTTACTGAGAAGCTGATGGAACACCCGAGTGACAGAGCTGTCCCACTGACACTGGAAAAATGCCAGCCCTGCTGGGGTCATCGCGTCCTCGTGTTTTCTGTAGAAGTCAAACGTGCTAAAGGTTCTCATCCTGAGGCTGTGGCTGGAAACAAGACACAAGCACAAAAGCTGAGGTGAACCTCTTTTCCTGCACCACCCTGCTAGGTAACTACTTCCCCACATCATCCCAGAGTCTATAAAACAGAGGTGGAAAAAGAAGTCACCAAAAGAAAATCCCCCAGCTCCTCCAGCTCTGAGCACGTTTCTGCCCCAGGCAGGGCAAAACTCTTTCTGAAAGCAACGGGACTCCTCAGTGCTGGCAGGGCTGGGATCGTGGCTTCAGGTGACACACAAACCCTAAGCAGCCCCCAAAAACCCTGCAGATTAAAAGGAACTGCTCTCCTACAGGAGTTACAAGCATGTGATCTTAACAAGGAATAACAACCAAGCCAAGTGAGTGTGAAACTGCCCAGCAGAAGCTGGAATTACCATGGCATTGGCCGGACGTCCTCGCTGAAATCTATGGGGCCGTCTTGCTTGAAGAGGAGGAAGATGAAGCGATGGTAGCCAGTTCCCATGGCAGGGAACGGGGGCAAGTAATGGCAGATCTCCTTACCCGACTCGATGTCGTTGCCTGGGATGTTTGTCCTGAACACAAAGAAGTTTATTTCACTCTACACCCATTCATTTCCCTCCAGCAGATTCACCCAGGACTGCAAATCACTCTGCGCTACCTTTTGACGTGACTTACACCCTGTTTGACAAGTGAACCGAGAGCAGAGGCTGCTTTCACTGGAAGAAAGATCACACCCAGTGATCTGAATGCCAAACAGCAGCAAGGCCTGGAACTACTGCACCTTTAGCAGGAGCCAGAACACAGGGGTGAAGCAGCCAACAGCAGGAGCCCCACAGAAAGCCAGGGAACTGCCTCAGAGAACGTTTATTCCCCAGCTCTGCTGGAGGAGTTTCCACCCGTTCCACCTGGGCTTTCCCTGAGCCAAGCAGCAGCTCTGACGGGCAGTACTCACACCAGCCAGTGGAGATACTCCGAGTCCGTGTCTCTTAAATGTCCATCTGCAAACACATACAACAGAGAAAGGTGACTGAGGGACACCCCAGTGTTTGCACCAACCCCAAAGTGAGAACGCCCAGACCCGCTCTGAAAGGACAGACCGGCTCAAAACCTCCCAGCATTCCCTTCCTAGCAGAAAAGTAACTCATTCTTAGAGGACTGAGCTTAAAATGAGGAGCAAAGAACTCTGCAGATGTAATTCTAAGATGAAAAGGGTTTCTCAGTCAGCTGCTTCGCTTCACTGGGCCTTGGTTTCTCAGGGTGAACAGCAGCAGCTAACCTGCCTCCCAGGGGGCTGCCAAGGGAGAGAGGAGTTTGGGGGTAAACAAAAGATGGGAGTCAGGGAATTGTTTCCTCTGCACTGTGACACAGGTCCTGCTGCATCACCGTCCCAGTTCTCAACTGCTAGAGATTTGGGGAGGCTACAGTCTCTCCTGCATATGTCATATGCCCCTACTTATCAGGTATCATATCATCTGTGGCTGTGCAGCCAAAAGAAACAGGAACTAACAATAAGCAGAGTGAAACAACCCAGTTTAAACATGTTTTTTTTAAAGATCTTGCTACTCACCTGGATTTGTGAGCAACAAAGTCCAGAGGGAACCTTTATCTGCCTTGTACGACACTGCAGGGGGACTGGAAGCCTAAAAGAGCAACATAAAGAGAATGTAAATCATCCAAACAGCAGGTTCCATTAAGATCAGGTCACAATTTCCAAGGCACAGCCAGGATGCAACACAGACTGGGCACAGCCACGCCACCGAGTAATCCTGTTCCACCTGGACAGCTTCCCTGAGCGTTCATAAACACCAGCCTGCAGACAGACAACGATGCTGCTGCAAAGCTCTGCCCTTATCATGTCCAAGAAACACAGGTCACAGAATCACAGCATCACAGACTGGTGGGGGTTGGAAGGAACCTCAGGAGATCATCCAGTCCAACCCCCCTGCCAAAGCAGGTTTCCTGCACCAGGTTACACAGGAAAGTGTCCAGGTGGGTTTGAACATCTCCGGAGATGGAGACTCCACACCCTCTCTGGGCAGCCTGTCCCAGGGCTCTGGCACCCTCACAGGAAAGAAATTTTTCCTTAAGTTTATATGGAACTTCCAGTGTTCCAGTTTGTGCCCATAAAAAGGGTCCTTCATCACAGAGGAAACACCCCAAAATGAACAACACCCGTTAGAAGCACCTGACAGAAACCCACGGGGTCAAGGTTGTCCCCAGCTCCCCTCACACACCTCTGACGGTGTCACTATGTTCCCATAATAAACTGGCACGAGGTGCTCGTCTTCTTGGCTGAATTCCACCCTCAGGGGAACCCAGGGGGTGAACGTGGCTCCTTTGAACAAGTCACGGAATATCCCGCAGCGCTCCGCCACGCGCTGCTTGTGGAACGGGCCGCTGGTCTCCTCCCACTCAGCTCTGACTTCATCGAGGGGAATCAGCGCTGCAAGGAGAGAGAAACCCTGCAGGAGGCAGCTGGGCACCCAGCACAGCCGGGGCCGGGGAGGAGGTGACGGGGCACAGACCAGTCCGGAGCCGCGCTGCTCTCTCCATCTCAGCACTCTGGTGGTTCTCCCTCAGGATCTTTTTTCTTTCCTTGATTTCCTTTGCTTGCAGCTTCTGATCACGTGGCAGGCTGATGTCTGTCATTGGCTCTTCAAAGAGGGGTGGAAAAAAAAAACCCTACGTGTGAAAAATGTGAATACCCCAAATCCCCAAACACAGAACTCCTGGGGAAGTGTTAAAGAGTGTGTGAGACACAAACCTCCAGACATCAGAGACTCCATTCTACCACCTCTGCCTTCCCCCTGCACCTCCTCCCTCAACTCATCGCACTCCCAGCCCCACAGCTCTTCCACTGAGCAGCTCTGGTCTCTGTGGCTGCTCAGCAGAGCAGCCAAACTGTGTTATTTGCTGCAGGTCTAACACTCTGCCTCCTGCTCTGCTTTCTCTAATCCTACCAGGCTTCCAAGAAATCATTTCTTTACTCTCCTCCATGTCTTTTAGAACATCCTGGCCAGCTTCCCTCCTTCCACAAATCTGCAATCCATTATCCTGAAGACATTTATATCGTGCCCAAGCATCTCATCACAGAATCACAGAATGGTGGGGATTGGAAGAGACCTCGAAAGATCATCCAGTCCAACCCCCCTGCCAGAGCAGGAACCTAAATGAGATCACACAGGAAGGTGTCCAGGCGGGTTTTGAATGTCTCCAGAGAAGGAGACTCCACACCCTCCCTGGGCAGCCTGTCCCAGTGCCCTTTACAGGTTGGGGGCTGGGGTAAACCCACAGCCCCAACAACAGCTTCCCTGACCTTCAGCAGCAAACCCCCCCCCAGCCCACCTCCTTCCGCAGGTACCTGGCTGGGGGCTGGTGTGCTGCCGGTACGTCTTCCACCAGCGCGGTTTCCTGCTCTCTTTTTCCGCCAGTTTGAAGTACCGAGTGAAACTGCGGTATTTTTCCAGCACTTCCAACTTGCTGACGTCAATATCCTCGTTGGGCATCGGCCCCAGCGGGGCTGCCCGCTTGCAGAGCGCGGCTGGAAGGGGAAACAGTTCCTGGTTTATACAGAGAGCAAAGAACGAGCCCGAGAGAGCC